GATCTAATTTTATCAGGTGGAAAGCCTTGACCTAGATTGTAGCTGCTGGCGATTGAGTTCACTTATTTAAGCATATGACTTACTCATTTGTGTAGTAATGTTTATGTTTACAAAGATACTAGAAATGTGGAGAAAACCCCACTGGAATCGGCTTGTTACTACTAGTTGTATAATTAGTTAAGAATACAAATGTTACAGTTTCTTTACTTATGTGTATCTATACTGTACTTAAAGTGAGGGGTTTGTCTCTTTTTCGTCCTCTAGCCTTGATCATTTGTAATGAAATAGCTCTTTGCCGATATAATTGATTAGAAAATAATGAAAACACAAACTGTGGTTTGAAAGAATGAATATATTTCCATTGCTGGAGTAGGTGCTCAAGAACTCATATCCAGGTTGAGTGTGGTGGCTCAAGCCTGTAATCTTAGCACTCTGGGAGGCTGAGGTGGGAGGATAGCTTGAGGTCAGGAGTTCAAGACTAGCCTGAGCAAGAGTGAGATCCCCATCTCTACCAAGAATAGAAAAAATTAGCCAGGCGTGTGGTGTGCACCTGTAGTCCCAGCTACTCTGGGGGCTGAGGCAGGAGGATCGCTTGAGCCCAGGAGTTTGAGGTTGCAGTGAGCTGTGATGACACTACACTCTACCCGGGGAGTGAGACTCTGTCTCGGGAAAAAAAAAAAAAAAAGCTGTTATCCAGTTGATGATGATGATGATGATGATGGTAGATTTCAGCTAACATTAAGTGCTTTCTTGTGCTTAGTGCTTTCTTGTGCTTAGTGCTTTATGCACATTTTCTCTTTAAGTCTTCTCAGTAACTCCAAGGGAAGTAGTATCATTCTTTTCAGATGAGGAAAACTGAGGCTTTGGGAGAGGCTCAGTAACCTACTCAAGGTCAGACGGGGACTGTCAGGCTGCTGGAATGCCTGTATCATTCAAGATAGATGATGGACTTTGATCCGAGTAAAGGCCCTCCCTGAGAGGAACTGGCACTGCAGCGTCCCTTACTGAGTTTCACTATTTAATCAGGCTTATTTCAAGATCTTTTTGCGATCTCTTACTCAGCTGTTAATTGTTTAAGTTCAGTCGTAAATTGTCTAATGAGAGGAGTAGGTGCTTTCTTTGTAATAGCTCCTTATAAGATAGTTGACAATCTAAGGCAGTATCTTTTTAAGGAACTTTCTGCTGATTACTGGAGTGTAATATGTGTTCACTGAAGAAATTTTGGAAAAGGAAAAAGTGTTCAGAGGAATAATAATATTTAATGTTTATGCTTTGTGTAGATTACCTCGTTTAATGCTCACACAATCCTCTGAGGTAAATACCATGCCCATTTTATAGATGAGGAAAATGAGGCTTAAGAGGGTTAAACATCTCACCTAAGAGCAGTCAGCTAATAAGTGTTAGAACTGGAGTTTGAACCCTGGCCTTCTGACACCAGATACCATCCTCTTAACCTATATAGTAACATTTTTTTCCCCAGATCTTTTTTCAGTCACACACACTGTTTAATAATTACATTTTTGAGCTCATACCATATATTCAACTTTATATCCTGCCTGTACTTAATGGATCATCTTAATTTTATCATGTCATTAAAAGTTCTTTAGATACCAGTTTCTATAGCTATAGAATAGTCCACTTTATGGATATACTATAAGTTGAGACATAATATGCAATATGGTTTAGAAGTCAGATTCTAGAATGAGATTATGTGGGTGGAAATCCTGGCTCTGACAGTTATTATGCAAGTTATATAATGCTCTGTGTCTTAGTTTACTAATCTGTAAAATGGAGAATGATAGTATTTACATTGTTGAGTTGTCCTGAGAATTAATTATACATGTTATGAAGATTAAGTGAATTAATACTTATAAAGTAGTGCTTCTTAAACTATCTACCTGGGGAGTTGGTTAAAATACAGATTCTGGCTGGGCGCGGTGGCTCATGCCTGTAATCCTAGCACTCTGGGAGGCCAAGGCGGGAGGATTGCTTGAGGTCAGGAGTTCCAGACCAGCCTGAGCAAGAGTGAGACCCTGTCTCTACTAAAAATAGAAAAATTAGCCAGGTGTGGTGGCATGCACCTGTAGTCTCAGCTACTTGGGAGACTGAGGCCAGAGGATCACTTGAGCCCAGGAGTTTGAGGTTACTGTGAGCTGTGATGACACTGCTGCACTCTACCCAGGGTGACAGAGCAATACTCTGTCTCAAAAAAACCCCAAAACCAAAAAACAACAAAAATAGATTCTGATTCAGTAGGTTTAGGGTGGGGCTTGAGATTGTGTCTTTCTATTAAGCTCCTGAGTGATATGCTAGGAGTTTAAATTGCAAGGAAAGTAAAGTACTTAGTAAGTGCTCAGTAAATGTTGCCTATTTGGGTTCTTTCAGATTATTCAACTCTTAGAAGTGGTGTTATGTTGACTAAACCATGCCCATGAATCTTTTCATTGGTGATATCCCTAGGGTAGGTCTGGGAAATGGGATTACTGCCACTAAATTATACCATGTTTTCTCTAAATCATGGATTACTTCCTTCTCTCTTTACTTTTTTTCAATCATGGACTTGTCACTTGAGTATAACTCAAGGGTTACTAATTTATAGAATTTTAGCACTTGAAGGAACCTTAGATCTGCTAGTGAAACTAAGTCTACCAAACCCAACAACGCCCCACCTTTCCATTTGGAAGTATGTGTGAGGGCAGGCTGCTTTGGCTGTCACACTGCTGGAAATAGTTACCAGCGTTTAGAAGGCAAAGGCCAGAGAGGCTTAATGTCTTCAGTGTGTGGGACATTTCTGTTCTGCAAAAAATTGTCCTGCCCCCAAACCAGGAACTTTCCCATTGGGAATCACTGAGACCATTTCCCTTTGTTTTCTAAATGTGAAACAGGCCCACAGAATTCAGGTTGAAAGTATGTTCCTGAAGCTGGCTGGTGATGGAGCTGCAGGTTAGACACAAGCGTCTTACCTCCCAATCTGCTACTCCTTACATTATAATGTTTGGCCTTTTTTTTACTAAACTGTTTAAGTGACAAATGACTCACTAGTGAATCTT